CCTTGGAGAGGGACATCATACTTGGGAGGGTGGAGGGACAGTGCAGAAGGAGAAGACCCTCTATGAGGTGGATTGATTCAGTGAGTGGGGTAATCAGGATGTGTGTGTCAGAGGCAGTGAGATTGGCACAGGATAGAGCAGGGTTTAGGGCTGTTGTTCATAGGGTCGCTATGAGTCGCAAGTGACTCGACGGCAAATAACAACAACAACAACATGTGAAACATATACCTAGACCAGGAGGCTGTTGTGCAAACCCAGCAAAGGAACATTACATAGTTTAAAATTAAGAAGGAAGTGCATCATGGTTGTATTCTCTTTCCATATATATTTCATCTGTTGCTATTAAAGAAGTTGGACTCTATGGAAGAATGTGGCATCAGGTTTGGAGGAAGACTCATCAATAACCTGCATTATACAAATGACAAATCTTGCTTACTGAAAGTGAGGACTTGAAGCACTAGTTGCAGAAGATCGAAGAATACAGCTTTTAATATGGATTGCATCTCAAAATCAAGAAAACAAAGATTCTTACCATTAGACCGATAGGCAACTCCATTATAGAGAAGGAATTGAAAATATCAATAGCCTCATCTTACTTGGATTCACAATTAATACTGTTGGTATCAGAAAATCAGGAGATGTATTCCACTGGGAAAGTCTGAAGTTGGGGACCTCTCCAAATTATTCAGGAGTAATGATGTCAGTTTGAGGACTCGAGTGCATTTGATTCAGTCCATGGTTTTTCTGCACTTGCTATGCATCTAAGAGCTGGACAACGAATAAAGATGACAGAAGAAGAATTGATGCCTTTGAGTTGCGGTGTTAGAGAAGAGCACTGAACATCCCACAGACTGCCAAAACAACAAAGATGCCTTGAAGAGGGTGCAGTCAAAGTGCTCTTTGGAGGCAAAGATGATGAGGCTTCACTCGCATACTTGGGGCATGTTGCTAGGAGGGGATATTATTTGGAGAGGGACATGATGCTCAAAACGGCAGAGAGCTGGCGAATGAGAGGAAGACCCTCAACCAGGTGGGTTGACTCCTGTAATGGCTCCAATGTGTCAGGAAGGGTGAGAATAGCATAGTATAGGACAGAATTCAGATCTATTGTACATAAGGTCACTACTGGTAGTACTCAACTGAACAGCCTCTAACAACAACAAGCAAGTTAGAAACAGCTCCTGACTGTTCTTAATTTTATTTCCCTTTAAGAATTATCTCAGTTACAGCATTTTACAATTTTCAGACATCAAGAGTGGATAAAGCAATGATAGACATTTTTTAAAAGTACAATGTTTTCTCTTCTGTCTTAAAACATAATGGTCAAACAGAAGCTGTTAGAGTTAGTTCTGTCTCTCTCATCATATAATCAATATTGTAATTTCCAAGTCAGGGAGGCAGAAAATGGGCATCCCAACTATATTCTTTGTGCTCCCATTTTGAGTAGAAATCTCATACCTGGTAGTCAGAAAATGAAAAAGTTATCATTTATAGAATACTTAAACCAGTTATCAAGTTGACTCAAACATCTGGTTACTCTATATCTACAGGAATAGAAGTATTTTCCATAGAATTTTCAATGACTTTATTTTTCAGAATTAGATTTCCAGTTCTTTCTTCAAAGGCACATCTGGGTGGACTTCACTCATTAAAGGACTCAATTCTGACTCATAGTTGGACCTTCAGCAAGTCTCCAGGACTGTAAATGACAAAGGAAGAGACAGTCTAGCTTTCTTCCATTGGAGCAGCTGGCAGATCCAAACCACAAGAGAGGCATGGCCTTTAGGTTAACAGCGGCATGCCTATGGCCTATGCCATCAGAGCAACCTCAGGTCGACTGTTGTTGTTGTGTGCCATAGAGTCAGAACTGACTCATAGCTGTACCTCCAGAGGGTTTTCAAATTTGGCAAATCACACGGGAGATTGTCCATCCTCCAAAGGAGCCCCTGATGGATTAGGACTGTGTGCCTTTGGAACCGCAGTACAGGTTCTTACCACTAGGCCACCAGAGCTCCCAAAGTGGACTGTTATTTTTGCTAGAACCTCCAGGGTTTTTTTACTAGCGGTTGAGCACGTTCACTATTTGCACCCTCAAATCCTGAGCTCAGTACTTTATTGTATGCTCTTGAGTTGGAGCTGACTCATAGCTGAGACTTCAATAGGTTTTTAGAGGCAGGAAATCTTCCAGGAGGAGATTGCTCATCCTCCTGTGGAGCAGCTGGTGGATTCTACTCACATGCCTTTCAGATTACAGCACAGCTTCTTAACAATAGGCCACCAGAGCTCCGAGTACTTTAAGGACAACTGTTTATCTCAACAACCCTGTGAAATGGGTATAACTGACAGAGCAAGGAAACACCATATGGCTTAAAATTAAGAAAGCTGTGTATCAGGGTTGTATCC